GCAACAAATCTGGCTACAGAAAAGCATGGAAAGATACAAGTGAATGAATGCAGAGTGAAGAGACCAGAAAATAACATACAGGGTGCAGCTAGGTGGCACAGTGGATAGAACACCGGCTCTGGAGTCAGGAGGATCTGAGTTCAAATCTGGCCTTAGACACATTAAAAACTCACTAGCTGTGTGACTCTGGGCAAGTCAGCCCCAATTGCCTCACTAAAAAAATAAAATAAAATAAAAATAATAACAACAACAACAACAACAACAACAACAACAACAACAACAATAATAATATACACAATAACTACAATGTAAATAGAAAGAACTACCATAAAATCACCAAAAGTGAATATTGCAAATGGACACATGGACTCAAAGAGGAGATGAGAAGATACCTCATTCCCATGTTGTTGACATTCAGTTGTGTCCAACTCTTCATGACCATGTGGACCATAACACACTAATATTGTCTATAGGGTTTTCTTGGCAAAGATACTGGAGAGGTTTGCCATTTCCTTCTCCAGCGATGTAAGGAAAACAGAGGTTAAGTGACTTGCCCAGGGTCGCACAGCTACTGTCTGAGCTACATTTGAAGTCAGGTCTCCCTGACTCCAGGCCCAGCACTCTCTGTACTGAGCACCTAGCAGCCTCTTCACTCCTTTGTAGAGGTCCACATATGTGGTAAACTGAATATATTTTCACACTTTTTCAATATAATGATCAACTTTGCTTATTTTTTTCTCTTTCTTTTTATTTCCTTTAAAAATATCATTTTTATATAGGATGACTCTCTGGGAAGGGGAAGGAAAAGGGATACTCAGTGAAATTTTGGTAATGTAAAAAAAGGATATCTCAATAAGCTATTTTAAGAAAATAAGCAAAAATATTAATATATACATATCCCAAAAAAGCCAAAAAGTTCTAAACATCAAAGTAATGGAAACTTCTTTTACAACCATTTTTATTCAAAAATTTATTAGTCTTAGAAAACCCAGAACCAAGAATGAGGTCAGGGCTCATAATTCATTTCGAATATGCTATCAAATCACTTCATGCTCAATTCTCCCTCAAGGTCAGGCTGTAAATAAATATACATGGACTTAAAAATGCCACAATATAATACCTCCTGGTATGTTCACCTCTGCTGTGTTTCTGTGTCTATACAGCTTGCTGGTTAGCACAGCACTTCCTACTTCGAGGGAAAACACAAAGTGTTGTTTGTTTCTTACTCACGTAGATAACATGCCCACGTGCTACCGTCTCCATGTGAGTAAAGGTATTAGGTCTACACCCAACTGGTCATGGTGTCCAGGAATCCAACTGCGACATGAATAAGAACAATGACACAACCATGCCTTCACCAACTTTCCAATCAATTACTGTAACCAGGATGTCTCTGAATGAGGCAAATGCTGAACATATGCACATAATGTATTACAGCTTAAATGTTGCTATAGATAAACTCCTCTCTATTAAACTGCCAACATTTTTAAAGTGAGTAACTATCTAAACAAATTAACTGGAGAACCTACAGGCTTTTGTTTCTTGGGTCCACTAGAGAAGTATGTAAAGCCTATTTAGAGAAGTCTAAAAAGATTCAAGATTTAACAACACTGGGGAAGCCCTTTAAGACTAAGATTTACTCAGTTTGGCAATTTGAATGAGGAATTAGGAAAAGAATTTCACTTCAGAAAGTGCTCACTTTTACAAAGGCAAATAAAGATTTTCTGCTTTTATGCTCCTGAATTTTCCTATTTATAAGAAAATTAAACACTCTAGGCCAGGAGGTGGGGAGTAGAAGATTTCTCCCTCTCCCTTCACTTAGAAAACCTATATGTAAATATAGGGGAAAGTTGCTGCTTTGGAATCCAAAACAGATTGAATTCCAGGCCCTACAGCTGAAGTAGATTAGTCAGGCTGTATTGATAAATGCCTTTTAACGTTCCCTGGCAACAAGTGCTGCCCTCCCCCTCTTCAGGTTACAAGCCATTGATCAACTAATCGACTGATCAGATATTTACACAGCCCTCTACAATCTATGAGCAAGGGTTTCCAACTAAAGAACATGGCTTTAATTTACTGGAGAGAACATCACTTCTTAAATTTGCTTTCCATGTTACATAAGGATTAGAGGTGGCAATGCATCAACACTTAATATCAACTTTCAACAGCATTATTTATTTTGGAAAAGCAATCAATTCTCTGTTCTATTTTAGGAGCTACTCTGATCTGGGAAAAAAGAACACTCCGGTTCATATCATGCTCTCAAAAGTGGGGCAAATGTACATCACATCTTCAAGGATAAATGAAGTAGAGTAAGAAGCCCGAGAGACTTGGGCGCCAGTCATTTTATGCGAATGACTTTGTTTTCATTCTAGACAGAGACACTATGTTAAGTAGAAGCTACCTAATATAATTTTTGAGTTTTTTAGGCCTCCCCCTAGACCCTCAGATTTAACTTCTGTAAGGCTGATATATTTATTTTATTTTGGTGTTTTATTATATTGATATATTTAATATAAATCCAAACTTTTCTCCAATGAGAAAAGTGACTAGTAAACATTTTCCACATTTGCTTTATAATGAAACTCAACATACTTTAAAACCACATTGCTTGTTTCTTCCTAAGAGTAATTATTAAATTAAGCTATGTCAACTATTTTATCAAAGTAAGATTTAAACAGAACTATCAGAGTGTTCACTGTAGCTAAAGGCAAAGTAAATATTCCATGGATGTTTGTGAAAAAAGGAAAGTCTTTTCCCCCCTAAAATGTTATGTGAAAGAATCTGTATACTAAATTGTTCTCAGATAAATAAATCCTTAGATATTTAGTATCCAAATTATTACATTTAACAAAAGTCAGAGAAAATCTAAGAAACAAAATTTTGCAATGCATTTTATGTACAAAGAATAAGCAAATAGGCCAGCACCAAAGATGTTACAAAATTGCTTTCTTTCAGTAACTTTCCCTAAGATTCAGTTACAATGAGGCTGCTAAAGTGGCTGCCTCATGAAGCTGTTTAATTTAAAACTTATAAGAATTACAGAATGCCCCAATTTATAAAACCATTCAACTGATCTTGAAAATGAGACCAAAAAAGATATTAACCATATAGTCACTTTACCAACTCATCTTCCTCCAATTAAAATGAAATTAGACTTTTACTAAGATAATCCCATAATGACTCTAGCCTGATAAGAAAATTGCTATTTTCAGCATTAGGTATTTAAATTTCACAAGAGTTAAATTGGTATAATCACCTATTGAGAATATATATACTCCAAATGTTGCCTTGAGAAAAATTCAGCCTACAAAAATCTCAGAGAAAAGCCTGAGTCCTTATCAAACAGCAAGAATAGTATTAATTCAAATCTCTCAAAGTCAATTAGTCAAAGTTAAGTTACAAAAGAAGCATTATTTGTATTACAGAAAACTGCAAAATTGAAAACTAAAAGTCCAGGAGTTGGGAGGTTGGTTAAGTAGTGTTAATGAAACATTATAATGCAACAAAAAATAATTAATATGAAGATTTAAAGTTTGCAAATGCAGAAAAAAGGACAATAAAACTGGAAAGGAGACCATTTGCACGTGCACGAGGAGAATTTACCAGAAATGATAAAGAATTGTCTTAGGAAGACTTTGAAATTCACTTTCATATATAGAACATGCATACTTTCAATCGTAAACACGTTAATATTTAAAATATATAAATTCATAATAAAAATAAAAGGAAGTTAATGGCACCATCTCAATCTACACTAATGTAATGGGGGCCTGGGGGGGGAAAAGGAGTTCAGAATCCCCAAAGTGAATCAGTGATTGATTTCTTGTAGATGGTTCTAGAACATTTTCAAATAGTCACGATTAAGCATCCACCCAGAGTCTACTTTAGTACCTATAATGATTTAGAATTAAGTTCAAAGGTTCAAACACCAGATGCAGGTCTTTTTGTTTCAAATGCATGGATCCCCTCCTACAAGAAAACTCACATGGGAGTTATGAAATGGAAAGGCTTTACCTAAAAGAAGAAAAAGTGTCCCACAGCCTACTTCAGCCTCCTTCCCTCTCCTTCTCCCTTCCCCCATCCCTCATCCCCTATCCCCCCACAACAACAAGAGATAGATCCAGGACAAAGCTATCCCAGGGTCTTACTAAGCACCGACAGAGCTTCCTTATTATCTAGTGACAAAAAAAATTCTCAGCTACTTGGAGTCTGAGTGAAGTGAAAATAAGGTTTAGCACTTTAATAAGATAATAGGAAGAAATTTGTCAACTTAGCAAAACTGATTCCATTTTGTTTTAAACCTATGTGGACCTTCTGATAAGACAGACCACCAATGAGAAAAATACTATAAACCTTATCTGTAATTTTGAAGTAAACTAACAATTAAATTATGTGGTAAACAAATTTATCAACCTGGGAACACCCACAGTTGAAAATATAAATGATGACTGAGTCCCCAGTCAACAGTCTGTTCCTAGAGTGAGTCTGAGAGATGGGATACTGTTAAAGCCATCCCATTCAATCAATAAACATTTATTAAATGCCTACTTTGTGCCAAGCATTTGGGGGGGGGGTACAGATATGAAAAGGAAAGACAGATCTCGTCCTCAAGGAGCTTACAATCTAAGGGGGAAACACAACCCCACAGAAGGAAAGGGGAATGGGGAAAGGGGATGAGAGGAGGGAGCAGCCCAGTGGAGTGGAATTAAAGCAAGAAGGTTTTGGGAGAAGCTCTTTACTTCTGTCCGCCAATCAGAGGACAGGAAAGATAGAAAGAGGATAGTATGATAAGCCGATTTTCAGCATTTGTTTTTAAATAATATATAAGCTGATTACCCGGGCTGGAAATAGATTTCTCACAAATGAGAAAACTGAACTCATGCTCTGCAACAGGAAATTCCTTCTTAGATCCACAAGCTACTAAGCAGGACTGAATGAGGCTTCTGAGCAGCCACACCTCAGCCATCAAGGGAAAGGTGAACAGCTTCTGCACTGACCTCCTGTCTTCTCCGGAGGGACCAAGGATCATGTTACCAACCCTGGAGTCTTAGCAGAAGGGAATTTTATTTTCTTTTTCCTCTATCTCTGGAAACAGATCAGAACTTGAGCTCAAGTTAATATGGTTAAAAATTAAGAGAAGAATTTAAAGAGAAAGTGTCCCACTAAAGTCATCTCTTCTGGCACCTCAGAGATAACATGAGAACTTATAACCAACTGCTTTGGTAGAAACATGGGTAAGCAAGATAAGGATATTAGACCAGCAGCCAGAGGACTTAGGACTTTTATAAAGCCCAAGACACTACAATATAAGTTTAAAAACATCCCTCCTAGACACTTGAGATCTTCTATTACTAAAAAAGGAAAGGAAAAATTGACCCAATTTTACACAAGTCAGAATCTCCCCACCTACAAAAATAGGTTAAGATACAATTAAAAAAATTAACAGATGCTCTCCAGTCTATTACAGGCACTATGCCTTCAGAAACAGGACAGTAAAAAATAAGAAGTAAAACATTTTTTGGCCTGAGACTTTAGGAGATTTTTGTTTGTACTTCTTTTTTTTTCTAAATATAATGTAGAGTACATGTCTGTATGCTGTGTCCTATTAAATCCAGCTAACCTTTTCCCTGCTGTCTGATCAACCAATGGAAAAAAAGATGAAAAGAGTAGGAACTTCACTGCAAAAAGGTTCAAAGCCTTTGAAGGCTTCAAAATCTCTGTGCTCCTAATTCTGGCCACGTTGAGAATGCAGAAAGACAAATATGAGGTAATAAATATCCTTTTCCCAATTTGCAGAAACTTAGGATTTTGGGAACTAAAGAGATTAAATTTGTGACTGAAGTATAATCTGTTTATTATATATTTCTAAATTATGATGGAGTATAATTTGAATGTTTTTACATATGCTAAAACATCCTTTAGGATTCGGCAAAATGTAGCTAGCTGTATGGTTAAGAGTAGAGACTGAGGAATTTGCATACAAATAGGACCCAGATTCCTCTATCACTCTCTTTCCTGGAGAATTAAAAAAAAAAAAGATTAAGAACTGCCTGGTGCATATATTAACTCTTCTCTACAGAATGAGGCAAAAAAAACCCAAACACACACACACACACACACACACACACACACACACACACACACACACACACACACACACACACACACACACAAAGGCTTGTTTAAATTGAAAAGGCAAATAATTTGGGGAAAGGGTATAATTTCATTTCAGGAGAGAGATTTACCTGACCACTGTGATTTTCTGTGAATAACTTAATGGAATTTAATTGCATTGGTAAATTAGAGGCAAAGTCACCTAAAAGAATTAAAACAGACATGCATTTGCTAGTTCTTAAGAAACCAAATTGATTGGACCCATGCCCAAAAAGGCTATAAAACTGCATTATCCTTTGATCCAGCAAAAGCACTGCTAGGTCTATATCCCAAAGACATCCAAAAAAGGAGAAAGGGACCTATTTCTACAAAAATATTTATAGCAGCTCTTTTTGTGGTGGCTAAGAATTGGAAGTCAAAGGGAGGCCCATCAATTGGGGAATGGCTAACCAACTTGTGGTATATGATTGTAATGGAGTAGTATTGTACTATTAGACAAGCAGGATGATTTCAGAAAAACCTGGAAAGACTTACATGACCTGATGCACAGTGAGGTGAACAGAACCAGGAGAACATCTTATACTGTAACAGTAATATTTTTCGATGAAGAACTGTGAATGACTTAGCTATTCTCAGCAGTACAACGAGCCAACATAATCCCAAAGGACTAAAGCAAAGGTAAACTAGCCCCGGGGGCTCCTCTAGATTGGGATCTAATTTTGGCAGAGGAATTTGGAGGACCCCTTGTTAAGTTTCTAGAATCTCCCCTAGCTGAAACTACGAATGCAGCACAATAAGGATGAGACCATTTTGTTTGGCTTTATTGTATACTGGTTCACCACAAGTGATCATAATAGCACATACAGTTAGAGGAAAAAAATGAGAGAGAGAGAGAGAGAGAGAGAGAGAGAGAGAAGGGGGGGGGAAGCAACACTAAAACCAGATTTGGATGAATTTTAGAAAATCTGAAATCCCAGACTGAGAGGTATATACAAAGTTAAAATCTCATATTGGCCCAAGGAAAGATACAGAGTAGTTGTTATTACAGGCTAAGAAGTAGCAATAATTGGAAGGGCTGTATAGATTGAATAGAAATTTTGCCTTATGGCAGAAATGTCCAATTATTGGTAGGAGAAGCCTTATGGAATCCCGTAGCCTGACCTACCCAAAGTGAGGTGCAAATACTCCGAATATAGAATTAAAAGAGATGAGGAAATTGACAGAAGAGAGAGAGAATGTGGAATAGGAAGGATTAGTTAGAAAGACAATTAGTCCATACCAGGTTTAAAAAAAAAAGGCAAGAAGTAAGTGGAAATTTACAGTGGACTATGGAAAACTATTTGATACCAAGATTGAAACTAATAAAGGTATTCCATTTAAATATTTTGGAAATGACTGCTGAAATTAAAGGACATGGTAAGTCTTAGGTTTTGGTTACTGATTTACTGAATAATCATCACCAGTGCATGATTGGGCATCCTGGGTTTTTTTGTTTTGTTGTTTTCTTCCCCCATTCAAAAATTTCATCTCATAATCATCACATGGTATAATTCTGTTAGTCACACTTAAAAGGTAAACAGAGCAGCAATATATTCAGCAGTGGCATATAGAAAAGCATTTATCTCTAGCACATTGTGAGCTACCAGCCTAGAATTCTCAGCGCACGTGCACACGGGCACACACACACACACACACACATACACACTGTCAGTATATTTCCGAAAGCCAATTTGCATGGTTTGTTTAGAGCTGCAGTACTAACAGTACCATCATTCAACCCAAAGAAGAGCACAGGGGCAGCTAGGTGGTGCAGTGGAGAGGGCACCCACCCTAGAGTCAAGAGGACCTGAATTCAAATCTGGCCTCAGACACATAACACTTACTAGCTGTGTGACCCTGGGCAAGTCACTTAACCCCATTGCCTAGCCAAAAACACACACACACACACACACACACACACACACACACACACACACACAACAAAGAAGAGCACAAGGGGAGCTAGGCTGGCAGGTGAAGCTCTGCCATGAGTAAGCCCATGACATAAGACTTGTAGCTTCCCAATTTTAATGTATATTCACAAGTATTTCCATGCATCCTAAATCTTACACTAATGACAGTTTAGTAATAAATGACTTTTAAGCAATACCAGAACAATGTTTTTAAAAAAGGGCAAACTTCACATATGGTTCACACCCCACCTTTTTGCAAAAATTGTCACAAAATCTGCAACGATTATGTGATGAGGTAGGGCAAGTAATATGGTTCTGGGCAGCTAGGTAGCACAGTGGATGGAGTTCCAGGCCTGAAGTCAGGGAGATGCTTTTTCATGAATTCAAAATCTAGCCTCAGACACCTGCTAGCTGTGTGACCCTAGGCAAGTCACTTAACCCTGTTTGCCTCAGTTTCCTCATCTATAAAATGAGACAGACAAGGAAATGGCAAACCACTCCAGTATCTTTACCAAGAAAACCCCAAGTGGGGTCACAAAGAGTTAGACGTGACTGAAATGAATGACCAACAACAAATACGGCTCTGTGTGGTATCTTGTGACTGAAACAAGACAGTAACAATTTGCCTGCATATATCCAGGGATGCAGTATACTTTCTATAGACTGTCAACAAAGATATGTTGAAAGCCCAGTGCATGCCATAATTTGCATAGACAACATTAGTCAAAACTCACCTAGGTATCTGTCTGCTACATCATTTTATAGATGATTTATTACTCAGGGGACATGATTAGCAAGATATAAAGGAAATTAAGGGACAGGGTTACTGAAGAATTAACTGAAGAGATGACAGCCTTGATTACCTACACCAGGAACAGTTTCTAGATGGAGATGCAGAAGGCTGTGTCCAGAAAAACTAAGTACCATTGTATCGTTATTACATACACTTGCTGTGTTAGGGCAATTTAAAGTGACAGGTACATAAAAAGAGGTACAAAATGATATAGTTTACAGTCTAAAGCCATCTGTTTTTAGTGAAACAGAAAATCATATTAAAGTATTAATGCTATTGTTTCAGTAAGGCTCCAAAGGAATCAAATGCAGTGTTTTTAAAGATTAGTTAACTCAAAAACTCCAGAATAAATGATTACGCTGGGATTCAAACCCACAACCTTTGAACTGCTCTGTCATCAGAAGTCCAAAGTACTAGCTATTGTGCCAGAGCCATCTGGCCAGAAGTCATCTTATGATTATCTTAACATGTAATATCATCGAACCCCCTCCTTGAATCCCCTTTGTCTACATGTATTCCTCAGTGCTGCATGTCAACTACAACAGTGACTTGGTTAGCAGAGGCAGCTAGATTGCACAGTGAACACAGGTGCTGCACCTGGAATCTGGAAGACCTGAGTTCAGATATGGCCTTGGAGGCTTAGCCATGTGACCTGAGCAAGGCACTTACCTCCTCTCTGCCTCAGTTTCCTTAAAATGGTTCATAACCACCTAAGATGGTCTATAACTAAGATCACAATTAATGTTAATCCAAGTTAAAATTATCTTAACACTGTCCCTTCCAGCCTCTTGAACCCAATAAGCAATTAGCTACTCTGTTCAGTCATTTGTCTGTAGTTGCCCTCTGTACCTACCCTACTTCCACTTATTTATTTACTCATGGCCTGTCTCCATTTGAGACTGTAACGACTGCAGTGAGTCCCGGACTACCAAACTCTTTAATGCCTACCTGAGATTTACAACCACACTAAAAAGTTTAACCTAACACTCCACCTAAGAAAAAGCAAATACACAGAGAAAACACTGTCATTGTCCAGACTATCAGAAGCAGGTGAATGGACAAATTATGGACCTCATCCATTCAGATGCTTAGGATAGTCTGGACCACAGGTCAAAGTGTTTTCTCCTGAAGTGTATGTCTGATAATCCTCTGCCTCATCCTTGCAATCCCACAGCATCTGGAAGGCCCTCCGTCTGGCTCACTCTCTTCTCCCACACATAAGTGAATTCCTCCTACACCCCCTATTTTGTGGAGGAGTCCTGGCTA